AAGAGCATTTAGTTGTCGCATTCGTAGTCGTATTTTTTTAAAGCTAACTTAAAAAGTTGTTGAAATGCAATTTGATGATTCATTAACTCAGTAGACTTTGTTTGTATGCAAGAATAAAATATATATAAATCCGACACTCTAAATATGCATTGCAACGAATGCGAATGTTTAATGCTTAACTTGGTTTTAATTTCTAGCTGGCAAACATGGTACGTGACTTGCAAACGGTTTCGAGTGCAGCACATGCTATGGCAAAAGTTCTATTGCACTAAAGCTCCATAAAGCTCGATTTAACAGAGGAATTTAGAAAATTTAATGGCATTTTGAGCAAACAAAAGAAATTGAATAAATATGTTTAATGCTATTTTTATTAAATTTGAAATTGATGATAAAACTTCAAAATGCATTTAAAAATTTATAGGTTCAAGATAATAATATATTATAATATTCAAGATAATATATTTATGCGAGAGAGTGAAAGCGAAATTTAGACTGTTTTATATGCAGCTATTGTGAAATTATTAAATAATAATAGATACACATAATTTTTGAGGAGAAACGAACCATATACATACATTTAGGTATTTTATTAGAATTAGTAATACCTACATAGTTAGTAAACTGTTCAAATGAACAAACTCAACAGTTCATTTTCATGAACCCATTCATCAAATTTATGCAGCAGCAATTCCAAAAATATATTTTAGTACAAAATATATTTGATTTTATTTTTAAAAACATTTTCCCATAGACAAATTTTATTATAAATTGATATTAAAGTGCATTCAATTATCCATTTAATATCGCTTCATTTTTAATTCAGCAAGAAATCTATAAATTGGAATTTCTGCAACTGAAAATGAACGTGAATAATTGAGCAGCAAAAATCATGATCGATAGCCAGACATGTGAATTTTAATATACAAATATATATGTATGTATATGTATATAGATATTAAATTATTTCGGACAAATTATGTTTTTGTGTATTCTGCGTTGTTGTTTTCGAATAGAATTCATTTTTATTTTTGTCGACGCCAGCAACAGCTGCAAAATAATATTTGCATAGATTTTTATGCCCGACCCATAAATCGCTGGCAAAAAGTCAAACTAATAAATGTCGAAAGGACATGCAGAGACGCATTACACAACTAATTGGGCCTTTTGGAGGGCATACGCAGGGACTAGACGGGACACGGGATGCACAGTTCGGGTTACAGGATTCGGCTGCAGCTGTTGCCCGAAAACGGGGTGAAACGTGCCAAACCAAACAAAAAACTGAGCTCCACGCTGATAGCGGGACGACTAAAAAATACCCTACATCGCATAGATGTATAGCGATTCTTTTTTTTGTAAGCTTCCTAACTTTTTATTGGTCAAAAAGCAGATGAATCGTGCTAGATATCAAATTTCTTTAGTTTGACATGCTAGAGTAAAGGATGATGTATAGCAGAACTATATAAAATATATGCATTTTTTTTTGTTTTCAAACCTTTATCTATTCTCTCTTTCACCTGTTACATGACTAGACACAAAACCTTTACATCCATTTTTTTTACACATTTATTTATAGACTAACGAAAAAAAGTATGCATAGAAATGATATGTAAAAAGCAGACGTATATTTAAATTATAATTTTTTAATAATAATAAAACAAGCAAAGCTGCAAATTCAGCTGCGGTTGCAGAACCAAAAAAAAAAAAAAGAAGAAGCGGGCGGCACTTGGACTATGAGCAGTGGGCTGTGGGTTTACTGGAGCGCTACGTGGTATACGCTACCATCCACAAAATGGCGTTGCGGCCATTTGCCATTTGCCATTCGCCGTTGGCCGGAAACAAATTACAGCAAACAATTTAAAAAATGTTTGCAAACAACACGAACAAACAGGGAACAACAAAAGCAGCAGCAGCGGCAACAACAACAACAACAACGGCAACAAAACTGGAACTACACACAAAAAGGACCAGCAGACAGACGGAAACGTTATCTAGGCAATGGAAGAGACAAACGAACAGACGGAGAGAAGGAGGGGGGGACAAAGGGACAGCCAGACAGACAGTCGGATATACTATGGAACACTTGGCCAAACAGCAGCGCCCAAGATAAAAAAGTCCTTTCAGTGCCAGAGACGATGTCCTGGAACTAGTTCCTGCCACTGCTCCCGGTCTCCTCTCACGCTCCACTCGCCCTCCCGCTACTTCTCCTTCCGTTTAACCTTTTCGTTTCACTTAGTTAAGCAAAAAATGAAATTTTTATTGCCAAAATGCATAAATGAATAGAAAATAGTTACACAAACCAAAACAGGGCCAAAATCCACAGCCGCCACAGCAGCCACACAGTTCAGTCTGAGGAGTCGAGTTGGCCAGGACAGGCACACACACACAGACAGGCATGGACACACACGTGCAGTGGACTCTTTGATTTTTTTTTGTTTTGTTTGCGCTGCCCTGTGCGCTATTTTTAGAGAGACTCTCAAAGCGTGCTACGTGCCACACCTAAGCAAAATGTTAACCTCAGCAGTAAATCTGAGCTCGTCTAATAACTTGGGCTGCTTGTTTGCTTTTCATAATTTTATAATACCCTAACATGAGGTAGCATGGCGTGGACATCAATTTTGGGACTTTTGAGAGATTTAGTAGGAAACTCTTTGGAATTTCACCTTACATACTATTACCCATATATATATATGTAATTTTATTATATATAGCATTCGAGTGATCCAAAGAAATAAAGAAAATGAAATAAAGAAATAAAGAGATAATATATATAGACAATAGAAATATACATATTAATAAGGTATAGATTTATTTCAGTTGGAAATATTGTAAATATTAATAGATAGTTAGCTTATTATGTACGTATCTCATAGGCAGATAGAAAATAAATTTAGAGAGCATCGAAAAATAATTTTTAAAAATTTGATATTCAAAATATAAATGGGTTTTATATAGTAGTTGGGTAGATTGTAATGTGTTGCGTATGTAGAAAAATACTTTATAAGAAGCATTGGTAGGGTATATACAAAAGAAGTATACATATATATTGGTCTTAGATAAGATACATTAGCAAACATATAGATTTCTTACATTTGTAAAAGCTTTATACTAAATATGTAGATAGCTAATAGAAAGATTAAGTATAGATCAAGTGAATAGATTTTTTAAGAGACCATATATATACTAATAAAGAATATATAGAGTACTCATACACAACTTCTATACACATAGAGCATTCACCTGTCATATTCAGTAGCCAAGTTTCCTCAGCTAGTTATGGCTGCTTGTTTCACCTCGTTTGTGAACTCTGCCAATTTTTTCGTTCCCATTTTTTCTGTGTTTCTTCTTTCGGGCCTGCAATGATTTAGACATTAGATGTGGGAGTGGCAAAAGCAAAAGGCAAATTGAGCAACACAGCATAGCCTTCAATCAGTAAGGCAAAGTACTTGCAACACTTTGCTGCCCGGCCCCCCCTTGCCGCTCTCACACCCTTCCGCTTTCAGCTGAGACACATGCGTAACTTTTTGCAACATTTCAATTAACAAATAATAAACAAGCTGGCAACAAAAAGCGCCTAAAAACACTCAAAACTTGCACTAAAAAATAGGAAATAAAGAGGCAAGCACAAAAACTTGTTTCGTAAGCAAATCAGAAAGTCATCAGAGTGCCAAAAATAGGCAAATGTTTCGAAGCCAATTTGCATCTGGGCCGATGGGGAGACGCCTCTGCCAAGGGAAAGTTCAACGAGCCTGCATTCGCACATTGCCTGTGCACTTTAAAAGTAATTTATCCTTTTACGATACCCTGCAATCAGGCTTAGTGAAGGGTGTAATAATGTGCATACGCATGTAAGTGCAAGTGAGCAGTGAATATGTCCAAGATTTGTAGCTTAAAAGTACTTGGTAACCTTTATAAGCAATTACTTTACCTTCTATTTGAATGACTTGTACTGCAGTCGATAAGTATCGATAACAGAATGCAGATGCAAGAGAAACTAAGAGCTAGTCAGGTATTTTTCTTTATATACACGTATCTTTCTCTCTCCCTCTTTCGCTCTTAACGGTCTTTCTTCAGTTTTTCTCGCTTTCAATCTCTTTATCTCTCCTTTTTTTGAAAATAATATGTAGATCCTCCCATCTCACACTCTATCTTTCTCCCTCTCACTCCACATCTATTTCTTCCTCCTACCGCTCTCTACCTTGCCATCCCTTTACCACATATCATATACATATCTAATTCCTAGAGCTATTCAAAGCTATCTGCTAGTCGCTCTCTCCTCATTAACTAGTCTTTTTTCGTCCATTTCCCAGGACTCAACATGCCATTTGCATAAAACTTGCATGTGCCTCAAGTCCCGTTGGCATAAAATCCACTTTGTTGGTAGCATCAAAAATTGCAACTGTCTTCTGTAGTTATTTTTGCTGTTTTTCTTGTTTTTGCTGTTGTTGTTGTTGTTGTTGTTTGGGTGCCTGGTTGTTGTTGGCATTGTTAATTGCAGCGCTGCTTACGGGTAAGTTTTCAATAATGTGGAAAGCTTGTAGCGAGAAAATTCCTTTTGTGCATCAATCTCTAATGACTTTCCTTTGTTCCGCCCCGAAAAAAAAAGTATAAGAAACTAAAGCGAGTCTCGAGGAAGATGTTAAGAAAATGTGTCAATTTGAGAACTTACTTAGCCAAAGTGCTAGCCAAGTTAGCTTGTAAATATATGCTTAACGCTTCACATTGAGCGGATGAGCCGCACTTGAGTGAAAGTTCCATTGAACCACCAAGCCCCTTGGACAGCCCCATGCAACAGAATGGATGAGTGGACGGAGAAAAGTAAGTGAAAGTGGAAGTGGGAAGGGCGAAAAGGGAACAAAGAACTTTACAGCTGCTCGA